GGCTAAGACCTCACTAAAAATGAGGTCAACAAGCATAGAACACAAGGATCATATAAAATGCAAGAACGCCAAGATTGAATGTGAAAAAAATCTTAGAACGAGAAGAAACCACGGAGCCACACCACATCAAAAAATTCACTATGAAAAAATTAGAAGAAATGTACAGATTACACTAACTCAAGTCTCTCTACAACTTGTAACACTCCGGGGAGCTTCTTCTCCCTCTTTAGCATAGGAGAACACGCGAAATCCAACTCCAACGCATTGAACACACACATAACAGATTCGTGAAGCTGAAGACTTAAAATACCAAACTGCAGTAATTTGGCTACAAGCGCGGCCGCACCCCTTGTAGGTGCCATGTTTCCTTCGTTTCTGTTCCGCGAACATGGCGTTGGGGGCCTAGGCGCCCTCACTGGCGTCTGGTTTCCTGACACTTGGTTCCGAAGGCAGGAATGGGCACTGCAGCAGATTACTGCCGCCAGGTGCTCCCCTTGCCAAGCGTCGTGGTGTTTTTGTAGTCTCACATCATTAAAATATAATGTTTCCATGCTATTTATGCCTGCCTAAACTGAAAAAGTATATGCATGTTTCATGCTGAAACTTTAGGTTTTCCTTGTGGATGTTGTGGGAATTTTTTTTTTAGTGACAAATCATAGAACTTTTCATTGTTTAATGTTTTAGCATGTAATTAGCATACTCCCCTTCCTCAATTCACCAAAACTGAAATCCTATTCCTTTTAAATCATTAAAACCGTGTATTAGTCATTGTTTCCCTCACTAATTCACTCCTTAATTGCTTAATCATACTCCAACCGAAATTAATTAGTCATAAACCCTTTTCTAATCCTACATTAACCGCTTCTAATTATATTGACCAGAACTTAAAATTATTAATCAATACACTAAAATTGAAATTAACTCAGAAATAATTAATTAAAACATTAAAAATTGAAATTAACTCATAAATAATTAATTAAATCATTAAACCAATTAATTAACCTACTAAATTAAAATTAACTCAAATATGAAACTGAAGATAATGACTTATTTGGCAAATGAGGTTAGTGACTTCTATTTTGGCCATTCTTGTGAGGCGTTCAAACAAAGCAGTGAGGCTCTTGTTCGCCCAGGCATTATACATAGATCGGACAAAGGTACCAGTGGTCTGCTTGTTGTAGCTAAGGTTTGTAAATATCCATTGCCCAACGTCAATTGAAACAATTTCACTTTGGTGTTCATAATAATGAGAGTAAATGAGTATGCAGATGTTTATATCCTACGGTACATAGGAGAGAATAGAGAAGCATGCAAAACCACCAGAGTAATTTTATGAGCAACACAAACTTGGTTATTTTATTTCTAAGATAAAATATACTGGAGCTACTCAACTTCATGAAAGCAAGCCCATGTCAGGGCTAGTACATATTTGTGGTTGTAGCCTTTGTTATTCCTTCAGCATTTCTACATTTACCTTCCCCATATATATGAATTTGAGAAAGGGAAGGGCGCTGGAACGCTCCTCCTTGCCACACTTAGCCTCCACATATAGCACCGATTAGTTCTGTATCCTAGTTTAGTTGCTTCAAATAACCCATTTTTAGTTAATGATTTATGTGTTTCCCGTGCTTGTTCCCTGTTATTGCTTCTAGCTTATGCGAATTATTGGGCTCACTTGATTGACTTAAGGCCTGTGTCCATGGGATTCACATGAGTTGCGTACAGTAATATATAGCTGTTATAGCAAATTGATTAATTCTTAAGCAATTCTTATATCCTTCGGTTTCTGTAGCTTTCGGTTAATGTCACTACTCTCGACTTTGTACACTTTCAGTTTCACTTTCACCCTTTCTGATCTCCCTGCATCGTACTCTCTCTCGCGATCATTCTCTGTGTTGCTTGATTCAGCACTGTCATCTCCACTTAAGCTCACATGGCCCATACTTTTCTCTCAGTTTGCACTCCTTCAGGCTTCGAGCCAGTCTTATCTTAAGAATGAAGTCCTGCTCGCTTTGACTTCTGCGTAAATTCACGAACTGACTAATGGCGGTTCTTTTGAACCGATTCTAACAGTTGAGGACTTTACACCCACGCTTTTCTCTCTTGCTTTCTTCCTCTTTTAATATTTTTGGCATTTCTTGATCAACAGCTAAACTACAGCTTCCGTTTTAACCACCAAGTCTTGCATACTTCTTGACCAAATGTTTCTTTTGATACTGTGTATTACTTTCTAACTTAATTAACTTAAGTATGATTTTCATGAACTGGAATTCAGATTAGATTTTCCAATTTCATGTTTTTTTATCATAATCTAACAAACATTCGTGAAATTTATATTGGTAAACTGATAATAATTACTTGCAGCGAGTTATGAGAAAAGGTTCAAGTATTCCCTTTGAGTCCTATTATCTTCCACAAAGTGAATATGGATCTTTGGAGGATACTTATTTTCACCTAGATCAACTTTTGAGCAACTCTTCCATCGACAATGTTGCATGGACTTACTTCTTCCTGGAGGTTCCTCACGGTGCCGCTGGATCTAATCTACATTTTCAATTAATAGCAGACAAGAATATAGGCTATGAAATTTACACCAGATATGGCGGTGCATCATCTATTGATAATTGGGATTTTTATGTAAATAGCACAAGCAATAGCAATGGATCAATGCTTGTGACATCTAATGACTCAAGTAAAGGAAGAATAGAATTCTACCTTTTGTATGTCAGGGAAGGAATTTGGAGTTTTGGAGTGCGACACCCTACTGATGTTGGCAAACACCAAAGTTCCATTTCAATTTCCCTCGATGGGTGCCCCAAACATTGCTCTTCCAGCGGGCAATGCCATTATTCTGTTGAGGAGAGTGGATTGACATTTTTCAGGTAATCTTTTAAGCTTTATTGACTGTTGTAGCCATAATTAAGCTGAGAATTATTTCTTTCTCCTTTATAAATATTTTTTTTGTTTCTTCTTTGAATTCAGCTATTGTGCCTGTGACCGAAATCATGGAGGCTATGACTGCAGCAAAGAGGTTGTTTCACTGCGAGGTAGTCTCCTTTTATCATATAAAGGCTGCTTATTTTGATTATTTGCTTGATGACACTTTGTTTGCAGCCTAGCATAGTGCGCTGTCTAATTGTCTAGCAAAACGTTTGTTAAGTGCCTGCTTTGGACATATTTTTAGTTTGTTATGGCAAAGTAAAAATAGAAGTAATGAAGTGCTAGAAAAGTGGTAAGCTGCAGGCGTGATTTCTTATGTACCTGTCTTCCAGAGCTCATGTTGACATAAGTTTGGCGTTTATTTAAACCGAGGAAGTTGAACATCTCAAGGACATTTACAACTTACGATCTAGTCATGTTTCTAGATTGGTCAACTCATTTTGCAATCATTTGGGTTGAAGTTCCCTCTATTCATGTTTAAATCCAAAGAAATGTGTTCCTTTAACTCAACATTGTGTGTTTGGGAGCATAATTACACACCCTTACAAAACACTGTGTCAAGAAGACGACAGTTCAGAGCAGCGACAGCAAGGACACAGTTGAAATTGGAAAACTGAACCACTATTTGGGAGCTGCCAGGAGCGATGCGGAGAGGTTGCGGAAGGGGATATGAAAGATAATCACCACCTCGGGAGTGAGATGCAGCCGGAGAATGAAAAAAAAAGACACTAGCGACTATCTCGAGCAACCTGCTCTAAATTGACTTAAAACAAGAAAAAATAACATATATAATATTAGGTAACTAAGGAGTCGCTCCCATAAGGTGCGCGACACTCCAAGTAAACAGAGGGACCGATTATGAAAACATGTATATTTTGATAAAAAATCTCATAAAATTACTTGAAAGTCCGATTTAAAGAAAATATTTTGGAACAATAAGTTCAAAATGATGAAGTGTTCTAAGAAAAATAAATTTGGCATCTTTTAAAAGCTTTTTAAAGGTTTTGAAATATGGGTTTGAAATGTTGCAGATATAATTTTACAAAAATGAATTATTTATAGCACATTTAGTTAAATTTATTTTAATAAATTAATGAGGTTACACATGATTTTGACATTTTGAATTAAACATATTTACATAAATTAAACATTGGGGCACTTTTAAGTAGGACTGTCTTAAAAGAGAGTTAAGTTTGTTTTAAATTAAAACATTAGAGCATCAGTCTCCCAAGTTTAGGGGAGCTTCGACCTCATCCATCAAAGTTTCTGTCTTCTCATAGTATGACGTCAAGTCAACAATGTTGAAGGTGGTAGAGCTATTGTAACTACCTGATAAGTTAATTTTGCAGACGCTGTCATTCTAAAGCACATTATGATAGAATAAGTATCCATTGTTTTTTGGCACAACCTGAGCTGGAACTGTATATTGACGTAGACTCTCTTAATGTAACCCTCGAGCCACTAGATCTATAATTTGCCACTTTTACTCTTCGTACTCATCCAAATGTATCTGATAAACAAGTATGTACAAAGGAATCAACTCTGGGATGAAATCTATAGCATTCATGACAATATTGAAGTGTAACTGCTCCTGAGTGGTCTTTTCTTCTTCTCTAGAAGGGTTTGCGTCCCACTATAAGATGTTCTTATCCTCAAAGATCCTAAGGTTATTTCCAACTTTATGATTCATCCATCCTGTTTGATCATCTATCGGTGGGTGCATCGTTGAACTTATTCTAATACTCAAATGACTCCATATAGTCTTCCAGAATAGGCGTGAAAGAGTATCATCTTTGACACGTTGGACTCCCTCAGTAGGGGCAACTTAAAAGGTAAATTATATATTTGAAAAGTCCGAAATTGTCTTATTTGGGGTTGTCATGTGTCTGGTGTCGGTTCCTCAAACTAAGGACTCCTTGAACCACCAATGTTAGTTATGTTGGAGTATCTCTCATGAGCTCAGCTTGAATTATAATTTTTGATCTCGCATTAGTTGAAATCTGATACTCATTTGTGTCCTCATCTTCTTCAGTGTCTACTGTATTATTTCATTTTTCTTCAACTGCTTCGTGATCAATTCCATTGATCATTCTTCTGGTTGGACAATTCGATTCAATATGCCTAAATCCTTGGTACATGAAACACTTCCTGTTTGGGATATATTTCAGAAAGTGTATTGGTTTTGTCGGTTCTCCACTCCAAACTAATGTCTTTTTAGGCGGTCATTTTGGTGTACTATTACTACTTGAGCCCGTGTTGACCTCTGCCTGTGAGATGTGGCGGTCACCTGATGATGTTGCGCCCGAGAACATGTCCAATTTGTAATTAATTGGTAGGTACTGGTGTTGCATCTCTCTTGTCATCTTATAGTCCAGGTAGTAATTTGTACTCCTCTTTTCTAGCTATCGAAGAATCTTCAAGTTCACTCACCACCAAGATACAGTTTTTCTTACTTTGTTGTAGGCTAGTTTCACCATTTTCTTTGATGGGATGTCCTGGTATTCAAAGACATGTTTCACTGTCTAAAATCATTCAATGAACTCATCCAAATCCATGTGACTGTCTAAATATGCCAAATTCACTTTTACTTCAAAAATTGGATTGTTTGATATTGAATGTCTGGTCTTCAGGGTAGTGATTCTTCATCTTTGAAATCTACCTGATGGAAGTGATTCATTGTTTTATTTCAATCTAGCAAGTCTTTGTTGTGGTTATTAGTGACCCTTCTAGATTTCCTCCTCTCGATGGTGGTAAGACTCTATTGCAATTGGAGATTTTGCGCTACACATTATCTATCGAAGGTTCTTGAGCATCTCTTTATGGATTTCTCATAAACGACATTATGATATTTCATCTCGAACAGGTCTTTCACAATTGTCTCTTCGGTGGCGTTGTTGGGGTTTGGGTAGGCGGAAGAGGGTGTATAGGGATGATGTAAGATGAGAAAATTTTTGGGTGGTTGGTTTGAAAAATCAACAAATAGAATGATTTTTGTGTGGAGGTGGGGTTAGGTTCATGTGGATTTTGGCAACCTTAGGATATGACTAGGCTTGGATCAGCTTTGATACCAAATGATACCAAAGTTAACGTAACAACAGTGAAAAACCAAATTTTATCGCGGAATTCAAGTAAGAACTTATAACCAAAGACACTGGAAATTAGAAGTTTCAACAAGTGACAACATAAACTCAAACTAGGAGGGCTCTCGGGTGGGGTGGGGTGGGGTGGGGTGGGTCTTCATTCGGGTGGGGTGGGGGTGGGAAAAAGGGCGGTTGATGAGCTTGAAAGTGTGGCAACAGCAAATGTGCTGGTAGCAACGAGGGGAAGGTACAAAGCTGCAAGAACAATTTGATAAATTTAGGGCCAATGTATTAAGGAGAATAACGGGGGGTAGACCTAAGATTACATTAATATAATTTATTCAAAATAATTTTGAATAATATATTTAACATCACAGGCAACATTAAGCATAGATAATTGAAAATTGAGCATTTACCATTAACCACTAATTATTAGGATAATGCTAATGATGATGATTATGTGTGTGTGTGTGTATGAATATAATCATTTAGTGTAACCAATATTACAAGTGTTTTGTGGTTTGAATCCAAATTTTCACCAAGATAATAATATAATGGTTAATTTATTTTGTTTTGTATGCTATGAGGCATAGACATTTTTAAATATTATTTGTGTTCATCTCATCTTAAGTGCCAGACAAAAACACATGTTCAACACAACTTGATGCATGTCTTGAATTTTGAAATAGTGTTGAAGTTATCTTAGTATAAAAATAGGTTCCAACATGGTCTAACATGCCAAAATGTGTGTAGAATAAAAGAATATATCCGTTCATCTGTTAATGAGGTGTCAAGGGCATATGAGTGAACTTGATACGATGTCTTAGACCAAGAGAAATCCCTTGTGTTGGCTTCCCCTACCGAGGGATTGTTCTTAGCACTCTGTCCAGAGTGCTCTTGTTGCTTATATCGATGTTCAAACCCTTTTTAAGGGTGGAATGGATTTGATGCTACTGTGCTATTTTTCACCCTCTGAGCTAGGGTTTATACATCCTATAAAGTCCAATAAGGCTGTAACCACATCAGGTTGCCAATGAATGACACCAATCCTTGAAGATATCAAGCGATAGTATTTTACTCTAGCTCCACCAACTCACACTGCAATATGTGTTGTTCAAATTCAGTGGTTTGCTCCTTTTTTGATAACTTCTTCTTCTACAGAAGATGAATTCTCAAAATGATAGAGATACTTGTGCTGCATATCTCATTATTTTGGACTAAGTTGTAATCTTTTTTTTATTTTTCTTATGCTGGCGGATCCGCATCAAATTCTTCCAATATAGGAAAACAGTCTTTTTCAACTTAATGGCAGTTAGCTTCACCTTTTGTATTTGGCAGAACATCTTTGTACTCAAAAACCTGTTCCACAATCTGGAGTCACTCAATAAACTCTAATTTCACATTCTCACCTCCTATACTCAATGCGAAATCGATGTGGCATCAGTTCTTTGTTGTTTGCTGCTTCTTGGTGTAAAGTTTTTTTCTTCCTCTTCTCTTTTCAGTTGGTGACCGATGTTACTGTGGTTGACTTCTTGGTGTTGTCTTCTTTCAAAATCAGCTTGTTTCTATTGTAAATGGAGGAATTCTCTTTGCATCTATTCCATGATAAGGTCTTGAACACCCATTTGAGGATTTCTCCTTGGCTTCATGATGGATCTTCCTACTTTAGGGTTGTGGTGAAGGTGAAAATTTTTTATCTAGGATTGGTCGAAAGTTGAGGGTTAGGTGGAGGTAATGGGTTAGAGTTTAGGTTTCCAAAAAAAGGAAGTATAGAATTTAAAAGGCTCTGATATGGGGTTTTTAATCATTATGGAAGGATCAATAGATGGGTTAGGATATAAATAAGAGGGGTAATGAGGGAGAAAGGGGTGATGGCGATTGAAATCCTGCACTAGTGACTGGGCAACGGCTGGAAAACAATCCGGGAGCAAGAAATAGAACGTACACAATAGATTTGCTTTGATTTTTGCTCTATTGACTGTTATAGCATCTTCTTTTGCAAGTGATGTGTCTGTAACTTGCCCAGAACAAGTGGTTGATATTCTTCGTCACCATCACCTCGCTATTTGACTGTTTTTTTCAGTTGGAACAGTTGCTAAACAACTTGAATCTACTGTTCAACAATATATTTTGTTGTCTATATCCTTCTAGATGCGCCATCAACACCCCCTACTGTCACTTGTTATTCCACAACAACTTGCTTGCTAAATCTTTTTCCTAAACACCTATTAAGAGCCCTAAAACGGTATCAATAACTTTAGAGAGAATAGTCTCTATTGTGTAATGCCAAGCGAAAGTTGCCCCAACAATATAAAAAAATATATGTAAATGTCTCACTATAGGAGAAATCCTAATTTGTAGCTTAATATGGTAAAATGGAACCCATAGGGGGTTGCCCAATCCAAGAGGGCTAAGGTGTTGAATTAATCTAGCAAGAGGACCAGTACTTCTGCTCTTGTAGGATGGTTTCACATTTTGCATCTTGCTCGAATCGACACCTCAATAATAGACATGCACACGTCTAGGGGTGTAAACAAGTCAAGTTTGTGTGAGTTCATTATTCGTTCATGTTTGGCTCGTTCAAAAATTTATTTGTTCGTGCATTTACCCACAACATAGTGATTGAGAGTATAATTTTTCATCATGAAGTCGTGGGTTTGACTATCGCATATTGCACTTTAAGACTCTTTTTTTCTAGAAAAAAAAAAATATTTTTTTGAATTCGAATATTGTTTGCAAGTATTTGTTAATATGATGTTCGAGCTTAACTTTTATTAATCAAAACAAGCTCGTTGAACTCATTTAGGTTTGAATTGGCTCAAATTACTTCAAAATTCACAATTTTTATTTAAAAAATATACATAAATATATGTGCAAAATTATGAATAGTTGTTTCTAAAAATTTATAATTATAATAATTATCTAAAATTTCACAATAAAGAAAATAATGAATACATGAAAAAATTACAATCAAAGTCCTAAATAAAGTTAGCTTTAAAAATGAGGCATGCAAGTAGTGCCCCTGGTTTAGATGAGATATTTATTAAGATTATGAGAGTAATTGAGGATATTGTAGTTATTTGGCTAACAAGTCTTTTCAATAGAATTTTCAATGCTAGAAGGATGACAAAATTAAAGAAATATTTTCGTATATTAAATACAAAGGTTTTGATCAAAATTGTGTTACATATAGAGATATTAAATTTGTGAGCTATGAAATTGAGCCTTATTAGTAAGGGATTATAAGCTTAGAAAAATTGTATGAATTTGGAAGAATCATTTCAGTTTCTTGCTAGAAGATTCATTATATAAGTGATTGTTGTGCTAAGACAATTAATGAAGAGGCATAGGGAACAAAGGATGGATCAAAATGTGATTTTTATTGATTTTGAGAAAGCACATGTTTGAGTTTCATGAGAATCAATTTGGTGGGCTTTAATGAAAGAAATATGCACATTAAAGTTATATAAATGTTATTAGAAATATGTATAATGGAGCCTTGACTAGTATTAAAAATAGTTGAGTGCCAGAAATTTTAAATATTATAGGTTTACATTAGTAATCAACATTCAATCCATATATTTTTGTATTGATTGTAGAGATGCTTACAAAGGATGTTCATAATGATATACTATATTTCTTGCAGATGATACATTTATAATTAGTGCTACACCTACTAAAAAAAATTAAAAAAATAGAATAATTGAGGAAATATTTAAAAGATTGAAGCCTTAGAATTTGTAGAACAAAGTTTGGCTATATGTTATAATTTTTTCAGGTATGATTTCAACAATTGTCATTCAGTATCATTAGAAAATAAGACGATACCTACGTGTTATAGATAGATATTTTGTATATATTATACTAAAAATTGAGGATACATGTGAGGATATGCCTTCAAAAATTAAGGGAAGATATCTAATGGATAAGTATTTAAGGATTTTCATTTGATTGTATGATATCATGATCTTAAAGGTAAACATTATAAAACTACAATTAGGTTGGCGATATTCTGTGGATCTGATTATTGGGCTGTAAAATAATTATTGATATCTGTTTAAGCGTGATAGAAGTTAAAATCTTAAGATGGATGTATAACGGAGGATAAATTAATGAATAATTATATTAGAAGAAATATTGGAGCTAATCTGTTCAGGATATGGTGAGTGAAATTAAATTTATGTGATTTGGATATATAAAACAAATATAGAAAATGCACTCAGTAGATCAGTTGATAAATTTAGTGCCAATGTATTTGGAAGAAAAAGGGGGTAGACCTATGATTGCATGAATATAAGTTATTCAAAATAATTTTGAATAATATATTTATCATCATAGGCAAAATTGAGCATAAATAATTGAAAATTTAGCATTTATAACCGTTGACCACTAATAATTAGGTTAATGCTAATGATGATGATTATGTTTGTTTTTGTGTGTAATCATTTAGTGTAACCTATATTAAAAGTGCTTTGTAGTTTGAATCCAAATTTTCACCAAGATAATAATATAATGGTTAATTATTTTGTTTTGTATGCTATGAAGCATAGACATTTTTAAATACCATTTGTGTCCATCTCATCTAAGTGCCAGACACAGACACATCTCCAACACACCATGATGCATATCTCGAACTTTGAAATTTTGTTGAAGCTATTTTAGTGTTTCCAACGTGGGCTAACATGCCAAGATGTGTGCAGAATAAAAAATATATATATCCGTTCATCTGTTCATGACTCAAGGGCTTATGCGTGAACTCGATACAATGTCTTGTATGTTCTTTATCCTGATTTCAAAGTGTCCAACAAAGAATCTCTTTACATCTTTCCTTCATGAGAACGCCATGTTCTACTTTTGATAGTTATGCCATGTTATCGTGTTTGTTTCATGTTGTGTTTGTCAATTTGTCCTTGTTTATGCTTCATAGGTTGCATGACATTGAAATCAAATGAGTGTTTGAGAAAAACTGCTTTACATTGCTTAGATTGATGTTTTTTTTTTTTTTTTTTTGAGAAGACTTTCATCAATTTAGCTTTTTTTCTTTTTTTAATGTCAAGTCACCCGATTGGCCGATCTTCATCATTGTTCATTCATTTATTTAAGGTAATCAAATTTGATGACTAAGTTGCTTTGATATATTCAAGTGGAAAACCAACATTCGTGCAATATTTTATTTTCTTCATATTCTAATGTTAGATTTCTTTTTATAGTTAATCTCAATGGTCTAATTGATTCGCTGGCTAATTATAAGTTTTTATTACTGATAGTGTTTTATGTTATACCTAGAAAAGGAGGAAAAGGAATGGATTGCTGGATGAATTTCCTTTTTGATGCCACAAATTTCAGTTTTTCATTTCTCAAATTAACTGAAAGTTAAATTTGAAACTGTTATGTTAAAGCTATACCTCAAAAGGTAACGGGAAAAAATGGGAATCAGACATACAAGAGAGGCTGTTATCAGACATGCCACAAATTTCAGTTTTTTTCCTGCAACTTCAATCGTGCAGTACATTTTAGCATTGAAGGAATTGAATTTTACATTTTAGATGTGACAAGTGATTTGTTTTCATTTTAGCTTCTCTGGCTTTGATTTAGAAACTAACTTTGTTATTTTCAGATTAAAATCTTGTGAATGTTGAATTTTCGTTCCATTGCATTAGATTATTATTTTATTTTATTCTATTACTTCCTCAAATAACGTTATTTCTAATTGATGTGCTGTGGATTTATTTTGACATCTCATAAAATATTATTTCCTGAATTCAGGACATATCTGGCATTCAATTTTTCTTGTTACATCAAATGGGGCAGCCATCCTACCTGCATATTGGTCCCTTCGAAGGAAGGTAATGCACTTTGGTTAACAGAAAAGCTTTGAAATTATGTTGAACATTATGGTGTGAAGTAATCATGTGTTCCCATTACTCATCTTTTTGGCCTCGTCTTAATTATTTAATGTTCGTTTATGAATTCGTAGTCTCAGTTTGTCCTATTCGTTGCAACAATGAGGTTCACATCGAAAAAAGATTCGAACACATTAAACTTGACAAACCTTCAATCTCACAGCCATAAAAAAAAAAGAGTGGAAAAGGATCACTAAAGTGTTAATCCAGGCCTTATACAAGTTAACTCATCACCTGGATTTTGTCATAAATACCTACAAAGTGCTTGAAGAATTCATATCTAATAACACATACAAGTATTGAGAGGAAATCTAGAATTTTATTGAACCATTGAATAAATATTACATGCTTACAATCATGCTGCATGACCTTCAACTATGTTAATATACATGTCTAGAATAATATTGCGCTCCTGCATTCAGTTTGTAAGAAGCAAAAAGATTTTATGGTTAGTCAATGTAAAAAACACATGGTGATGCAATTACATGATAGTATGATACTGTTATCAAGATAGAAAAAATACATCATGTTTAACTAATTTAATGTGAATGGTGTAATGCTTTTTTAAAGAAGTGGATGATCACATATAGGGTCCGGAATATGGTAATACCTCGACAACATATGGTATGGTGAAGAAATATATATTTCTATTTTTTGTACTCAAAAGAGGCAGTTCATATGCAAACAATCATAAATAATATGTACTAATATAAGCGAATGTAGTTAGGCAGTGTTGCGGAGGTATGGAAAGATATTTAGACATCCATGAGAAATCACCATCTAGATCAATTAGGTTATGACACCCGAAAAAGATCAATGATACAACACTTCAGCAATAGAAAACTAGAGAGAATAATTTCTAATGCATAAAAACAAAAGTAGAAGTGCCCAAATTGGCTCATAACAAATATATGAATAGTTCCCAAGCAAAATAGCCCTAATTCTATTTCATCTAATATAAAAATGGGGTCCACAAGGGCTGGCAGCGGCCGGAAAATCCCACTACTAGGTTTTCACAAGGTGGGATTTCATTCTGATCTCGATTCCGCATAGGCAGTATTGTGGGGATCGCTCCCCCGCTATTTGGTAGATTGAACCTTAGAGGATGGCTGCCTTAATTTTGGACGGTCCTTTAAACAATTGACAAAATTACAACCCAAAAATCTGCAAGAATGACAGAAAACCTTCAAATTCAACTTTTTGCTAATTGTCACATGAAGAGTTGAGAATCCTTGTCTTCCAAGTTAGCACTGCAAAAATGTCTATCTCAACAAGAATATGGTCCACTGATGGTCGAGCTAGTGTGGTAGTAATTTTATCGACTTGTGAATGTCTGTCAAAGATTGAACCCAAACATGGGTAATAAGGGTTTTATCAACAACAACAACAACAACAAAGCCTTAATCCCACTACGTGGGGTCGGCTACATGAATCCTTTTTCTCCATTGCGTCCTATTTAGTGTCATATTTTCATTTAGTTCTAGTAAATTAAGATCATTTTTAATACAATAAGCCCAAGTCTTCCTAGGTCTACCTCTACCTTTCTTAACACAAGTCGAATTTAAAACATCTACTCTCCTAATCGGATCATCTAATGGTCGACGTTTAATATGACCAAACCATCTAAGACGACTTTCTCTAATTTTGTCTGTCACAGGAGCTACACCAACCCTATCACGAATATATTCATTCCGCATTTTGTCTCTAAGTGTAAAGCCACTCATCCACCTAATCATTCTCATCTCGGCAACACTTAACTTATTATTATGCTTCTCTTTTAAAGGCCAACATTCAACGCCATAGAGCATTGCAGGTCTCACCACCATCTTATAAAATTTTCCTTTCAGTCTTAGCCGTACTTTTCTATCACACAAAAGGCCCGAAGCATTCCTCCACTTCAACCAACCAACTTGAATTCTACTATTAACATCCCCA